TTGGGTCTTCTACCATTTTCAAACCCTTGTAACTTTTTTATTATTAAGCCGATCGTACTCAAATTTTTTATTCCCACAGACATTCATACTTACTCTGAGCTTCTAAAGCAGCAATGTTCTGCGTGGTTTAAGTACGGAGTTATTCTAAATGAAAACATACACTTTTGAACAACTTCACAATCTCCCAAAATGTATCTTTATTGCACATGAAAATTGCAATTCTTTGAATTTTCAATTGAAAAATTCTAATAGCAAGATATCCCTTTGTGTCTGGTTAACTAATAACTATGAAAAGTGGTGTGAATTTTATCACCTAGCAAACCAGTTACAATATAGGCCATAGGTTGAAGCTCAAAATGTGGCTAGAAATAGGATTTCGCTCCACTATCCTGGGGACTACTTTTGATAGCACTTTTCCAATCTTGAATATGTACTGGAGCTGGGAAAAAAAGTTCTCCATGGGATTCCTGCCAGTATTTGAGAAAATGGGTGCCAAAGGTGGCAGTTTACCCAAAAAAGTGACGATTTTGGGTCTTCTACCATTTTCAAACCCTTGTAACTTTTTTATTATTAATGCGATTGTACTCAAATTTTTGATTCCCACAGACATTCATACTTACTCAGAGCTTCTAAAGCGGCAATGTTCTGCGTGCTTTAAGTAAGAAGTTATTCTAAATGAAAACATACACTTTTTAACAATTTCACAATTTCCCAAAATATATATTTATTGCACATGAAAACTGCAATTCTTTGAATTTTAAATTGAAAAACTCTAATAGAAAGATATCCCTTTGTGTCTGGTTAATTAATAACTATTTAAAGTGGTGTGAATTTTATCACCTTGCAGACCAGTTACAATATTGGAAGCAAAATTTTCGGAAATAACAATAAAAACTAGAAGAATCTTCAAGTAAATTTATACTGTTTATTCAATGGATCTGATATCAACTTAAGCAATCATGGAATTAATGAACAAATAATAACAAAAATAATAGTAACAACCCCCCCCCACCACCACCACCACCACCACTCCATTCCCACACCGACAAGAGTTACTTCTTCTGTTTGTTGCAACATTTATGAATATTTACAGAGAGAATTAATCATCTTCAGAAAAACTGAAAGAGAATAAGAAGCTTACATATCATTTTTCAATTACTTTTGAACAATTCTACCAAGCACTAAGCATGCCAAAGTTGATATCTCCCAAATTTTATACATGTACATATATAATTATAAAGACCGATTCTAACCATTTATAAATCTCCACTCAGTAACTATTGACAAATGGCAATAGCAATGATAACATGATTTTTAAAAGGGGTAAAGTTTTCAGATGCCTCATAACAATAGGAAGAATAATATTCATAATTATTGATTATTTATGAGAACAATGGAAAGTATTAATATCACAACATTAAAAAATGAACTCTTATTTATAAGCTACAAGATTGTTTTTTTCACATTTACTACAAAATTTAGTTCACTATGGACAAATGTTCAAATTGGTTTTCAGAAATGAAATGGTTTCAATCAGCTAACCCGTGGGTTGTGAATTCACTCCTCTGAGGCAAGACTTAATATGGAAATGTACAGGGAATTAAAGAAGGAACAAAGACGTTTCTGTTTTTAAACAATTACTTTTGTTGGACCCAGCAAGCCTTGAGATGTTAAACTTTTTAGGATCACTTCGGGTTGTTACCACTTGAGAATTACAATAGAAAACACAAAGAAACTGTGAATCATCAAAATCATAGGAGGGATAGGAGTCTCCTCCTATCACTTCCTGCAGGTGTTCCTAGAGCTGTGGAGTCTGGATCTGTGATTGGGAGTTTCCTGCTGCCCCGTGTTCCTGCTCTGCTACTACTCTGCATAGTGCTATTTCTGTCATAACTCCTATCATTATCATTAGTATCAATATACATAAAATTGAATTGAATTGAACTTTCTTTGTAGCACCGTTTGTGGTACCGGACTTTAATTGCGACACAATCTTTTCCACGTACATCCTTGAGGATGGATTCGTCCATTTTCACTTCAGCTGCTTTAACCAAACTCCCTAGCAAAGAGAGAGTTAAAGTTCAATCATAAACCAGCTGCCAAAAAATAATATCAAATACATTTTCTCTGTTTTACCAGACTGAACTGATAGTTGGGTGACAAATTTAAAATCTAACCATTATTTGACAAATCAATTAATTGCCTATCATCACTTCAAGTTCATAATAATGCCTTTTATTATTATTGAGGCCCTACACATAGCCTTCATACACCTACTTCATAATGATGTGAGCAGGCTAGGGTTGGCACCAATTACACATGCTTTTTTTTAATCAACAAATGTATTACTTTAGCTTTTGATTATAAACCACAAACAAAGATGCTGTCTGCAAATTATCTAATCACCAGTATTTATAGTTTCTGCTTGGACCAATTTACCTTTCTTTGTCTTGTGCCCCTCCGCCAACGTGCGGTCAACTCCGTCAATACACTTACGTGCACATACGACCAGCTTCTTCCACGAACAACCGTTAGGCTGTGTCCGTTCTTTGTCTACCGATTATATGTGTGTGATGCATATATAATCCTCATTTTACTTGCGTCTTTTGTCTGATCAACGGGAACGCGCAGCTCCATGGGAGCAGCCATGTTTGTTGTTGTTCTTCTGTTCTCGCCTCTGAATGGGAGAGCGCACCTGAAGGACGCGCTCTGATTGGCTAACGGCTAGGCGGCTTGATTCGAGCGTACTTTACCGGTGTGATCAGGCTACCGATATAGTTAAATTTTTAAGTAATTATTGTAAAAATACTGGCGCAAAGCGATTGGAGAACTTTTGGTTATGAGCTCAAAATGCACTAAGGTTTTTTTTGCAGGTGTCATTTAGTAGTCCCTCATTAAGTGGAGCGAAACTTAACGATACAGGCTTCAGCCTATGGCCTAATCATTAAACGATCATTCAATCTTTGATTTTATTTTGAAACCCGTGATTCACTTTGAGGAGTGCAGCTGCAGGGGAAAATGTATGTATATATATTTTGGTTTGTTTAGTTCTTTTAAAATATATATTAGGCTCCTGAGAGATGAAAGCAGCAGTGAATATGTTGGCTGTTCAACAGAGCCTCTAATCATAACTGTAATGAAGCAGAGGCATCTTTTTCCAATTCAAATGCTTTTTATTTCAACATTCATGACAAAAGGATTAGTCCACACGGTCTAGAGATTGATAATAAACTTTAATTTCAAGTTAGAATGGATGGCTGTGTAACAAAACAACTGAACACATTTAAGTGTAAACATATGCATTTCAATAGTTTAACCAGCTGGTTTAACTTCTCAGCTGAAAAGCCTCATATGTATTATCACAGGAAGCAAAGGGAACAGTGAATGTATGCTGCACTCTGCTTTTAAAGGACAAGAAATTATTTCACAAGCTTATGAAAGCACAAACTTTTTTTTTAATTTAAAGTACTGACTCTTATTCAAAAGAGGATTTGCCTTTTGGTACCAAAGGTGTCCTGAGATCCAGGTTAACGGAAAAAAAATAAAAAAAACAAATGTATTATAACTTTGTCCATTTGACTGAAGTCTGTTAAAGTATGAGATCAGTTAAATTTTGATAATGATCTTCATGCAAGAGTCTGATCACTCAAACGGTTGTCTGGAGGCCAGAGCTAACATTTCACCTTAAATAAACCAAAACTTTATTCAAAAGTTGCTTGCTTCCAAGACTCTTGAGTAGATACAGGTGTATAACATCACAACCTCCACAAGACATACACTTCAGACACTGAGAAGCTCAAAAAATATCTACTGATGACTCAAAAATATATAAAAGCTGTCTGTCAATGCAGATTTGGGAGTAAATTGCAGAGGGAAAAAAATCATGAGATATCCTGTAAATAAATATACTAGAAAGAAAGTATAAACTCTGTGGAAGAAGTAAAAAGACTTAAATATGTTCTGGTCACAAACGTTACAGTAGTCTAAAGTTTGTCCATCAGTGGGAACAACTGAAATAAAACTGAAATAAAAGTTGCAAATTTCACAAAATTGTTCATAATTGACACTTGTTTTCTTTTTCAATCCTATGAGGATTTCAGCAAGGGTAAATATTTTCAGCCATCCACAACTTGTTACGCAGAATCTATCCACAGAGGCAACAAAAAAGGGAAAGGGTTGATAATCCAAGAATTACTTTCCTTGGGCTTCGTAAAAAAAGAAAAAGAAAAAATCCACACATTTCCACAAATCAAAAAGAAAGAAAGCTCATGCAGATATTTCAAAAATAGTCATCAAAACCACATGATTCTATTTTAGCTTTTTTCTGACTGTATCATTATTTTCCATTGTTCTATTAGACCTAGGAACAACTGAAAACCATCTGGAGAGTTGAGATTTTTAAGATTAATCCAGCTGTACATTCTGTGAGCTGCTCAGTGACTGAAGCTTACTTTAAAAAAAAGGCTCTTCTTAATCAGAGCTTCTTTATAGGTTCATTGTTTTGGCTTTCATAGAGAGTTCCCATTTATCATGATAAACCAATAAAATCTGACCCTGAAAAACAATCAATGCACAGAAAATTAAAGCAGCAAATACTTTTCAGCACAACAGGAAAATGATTATTGAAAATTTATTAAACATCAGCACAATATGTTGGCTATCAGCAGCTTATACAAACAGAAAAGAAGTTCCGGCCTTCCAAAACCGTATGTAAAATCTTACAACATGCCCATCTCAATTACAGTAAATGGTGCCGAGTAAGTTCAAGTGCAGAGATTCAGAAGTATGTACAAACACCTGGATAGATAATAAACAGGTCAAACCCACACCCACAAATAAACTTGACAATGTTTATTAGCAATATCTCAACAAAAAGTTATTTTTCGTTAAATTTTATACTGAGTAAATTTTTATCATTTTCCTTTTAACAGAAACTGCACAGGAAAGACTCACGAGGATAGATTTCTATAAAATGTTTAGCACGAGCGCACTGAGTTGGTGGGATTTAATCCTTTTTTTAAGCTTTTATAAGTTCATTTATTAATGGCCTGCTTAAAGGCACTGCCACAATACAAGGGGGGAAAGCTACTGTCCATCACTCACACAAGACAGTCCATTCTAGTGTTTAGTAATATATAGGGGTTGGGGAGGGTTAGAGTGTGGGGCTGCTATAGGTAAATCTCATAGAAATCATCAAGCTCCTCGTGAAACAAGTCCCATTCATCCTCTGAATCTGTCACCTCGTCATCTGTTCCCGCAGCGAGAAGCATGAGAAGCATTTCGCTCAGCTCAAACGTCACCATCTCCTCATCGTCGTTGTCAAATGAGTCGGTGCTTTCTCGCTCGTCGAAGATGTCCCACAGAGGTGTTCTCCGCGAGTTCTGGGAATGGAAGGAGTTTTTCAATGATTAACAGGCTCAACTCCCGGGTACGTTATTAAATATATATTCGGGGGTGTGAAAATGGGTCATAAACAGGGACACAGTCCAAGTCACAGGCCAAACAAGATTAAGCATAAATCAAACAGCCTAAAACTATTTTTTCCCCAGATATATTAATTTGAACACACAGTGAAATAAATATGTTCCTCATTAAAATGAATTAAATCTACAATATTTTTTTTCAATAGTTAGTCAATGTAAAATAAGATGTGGACATTTTCAAATAAATAAAATTGGTGACTAGAGTGGGAAAAAATTACAAAGAATAAGCTTATTAGTTTCTAAACTTGAAATAATACAAAGGTTTCACTGTAGCTTAGCTTAGCTTTTGGTTCTGTGCACATAGAGTGCTGCGACACCAGACTCTTTTTAGGCTAATCTGCTTTCTATGGGACAGCTATATACTGACCGGCCATCATATTAAATACATTGAATTATTCATGTTTCATGTAAAAAAATAATATAAATAGATATAATATATTTTTAACATTAGAAACCTTCTGAAGTTATACAACAGCTACCATACTGTTCACAACTATCACCATCTAATCTCCTGTTTTGAGAACTGCACCTCGTTCCATCAGATGACGCTGCTTTGTAATGTGCAAGTTCTGATTTGTAGTGAACACTGCATTAATATTGATCAACTAAGGGCTTTCCCACTAGTGCTTATACAGCATGGCTTGAATTTGTTTCCATTGGTGCCTCCCTTCAGTTACACTTTTAGCACCTGGGTTTCGAAGCGGACTGAGTTGGCATGACCGCAGACCACCATTAGCTGATTGGCCGAAAGTAAATATGACTGAATGAGTCACAAGAGTCAGTCCTACAAGGGAAACAAGTCTGTCTTATAAATGCAACTACAACAAACATCCGATTTAATTATTTATGTTATTGAAATGCCTCCTAGATGAACAACTTTTAGCCAGTATATCTTGAGAGCGATGTCTTACATGTCTTTTTGTTTGGACCACACTTATAGCCGTGGATGGCTAAGAAAAGCCACAAAAGTTTACGGAGGTGTTATTGCCAAATAAGCTACAGTAATGTAGTAAAAAGTGAGGAGCGTTACCCGGTTTCTGCTGTTGGATCCAGTGTGTCTTCGCTGTGGTTGAGCGTCTTCCAAACGACCATCTGGGAAGGCGTGTTTGTAGAAGCAGTTGGAGCCAAAAGGGCAAGTTCCACGGCCCTCATCGAAGTATCGGCATGGTTTGTTCCTGGAGAAACGAGACGGTAAAAACTGAAGGTTCGGTTGACTCGGTGATTCACCAAACAAACCCAAAAACTAAAAAACAAAGCAGAAGCGTCAAGCAACTACACTTCATCTCAGGCTGACGAATGTTTCTAAGAAGGACATTTTATTATCAGCCTATCCAGAGTGTACCCTGCCTCCAACCAAAAGACAGATGGAATAAGTATTGTCAAGGCTCGCTTGTCTTTTTGTTTGTTTCGTATTTCAGCTCCCCAGTTTGATCCACCTGCATGACAAAACCTGTCCCCATGTTCAGGGAGTTCATCTCTATTAGATTAACACAGTTATTAAGAAAGACGTGTAAAACACTTATTCAAACAATGATCAGCTAAATTTGGCTAACTGGTCATCCATCCATTGTCTTAATGGCTTATTCCGTAGTGGGGTCGCGGGGGGGGCTGGAGCCTAACCCGGAAGTCAATGGACAAGAGACGGGATACACGCTGGAGGGGGGGCTAACTAACCCTCAAGGGAAAGTTCATTCAATGTTAATATAAGTTCAGAGTGGCAGGGCATGATTAAAAACAGTCCTTACCCCATGCCATCCTTGTATTTCTGGATAAGTTTCTGTTTGTCGTCTTTATCTTCCACCCAGTACTCGCTTGGGATGACAAAGTTGGATGTGATGCGACACTCTGGACAAGATCTGTGGAAAAGATGTTTTGGAAAAAACAGCTTAAAAAAAAGAGTAAAACATTATTGAAACCATACTGTAATGTTCTAACTGATGGACCCTGTCTTTTATTTACATATGACATTCAGTCCAACTTTTTTGTTCTTCTTTCAACAATCAGTTCTTGCATTTGTGAATCTCTCTTTGATTTTGGAACCTATTTCAAAATGCTGCATTTTTGTGTATGTACAGAAAAAAAATCTAATTTGTGGAGGGACCAGAAATGTGAAGGAGATCTGAAAATACAATGATAACTGATACTTTATTCTCTTAGATTTACCTCAAAAATCTGTCTTTATGCTTCAAATGGTTAAGAATTCAGCTGCTAGTGTTACTAGCATACTGGCTTCCTGTTAAATTACGAATACAATTGAAAAAATTTTTCTGCATACATTGAAGGTGATCCATAATCTTGCCCTCGATACTTTTCAGATCTCCTTCCCATTTCTGGTCCCTCCCACATCATTCTTAGTCTGTCCATATTACTGAACCTTTTAAGGACCATGGGGAAAAGAGCTTTCTCTCCCACCAGACATTCACGATACTGACACTCTTCCTCTGTTCAAGTCTAAACTCAAAACCCATCTGTTCAAGTGTACTTACCTCGATTTACTGTTCCGTTCTGTGTATGTTAATATTGTATGTGATTTTTAATTTCTTGTGTTTTCATCTAATTTCTCTTTTTCCACAGTGCCCTTGAGTGTTTTGAAAAGCACTTAAAATAAAACATATTATCATTATTATTATTGTTACTTACTGATGAACAAATACATGAAAAAAATGTTTTATGAAGTAGTAATGATCTTCGTCCTTTTTAAAAAAAAAAATATATATTTTTTTGTGAAAGCTGAAAACTCTACTTACTTGATAATTTTGCTCTCAAACTGCTTGGCACTCCTCCATTTGCGAATGCACTTGAGACAGTAACAGTGGCTACAGTTGGAGAGGATGCCAAATCGCCGCTCACTTGGGTTAGACTTCTCAAACACCACTTCCATGCACACACCGCACATCATGTCCTTGCTGCGTTGGATGGCAAACGAAATCTCCATGTCTTTTTCGTGGGCTTCAATGCATGCCTACGAGAGGGAATAATAACATCACCACAACATGAGCTTTGCAGAATTGAAATGGTTTGGTTCTGTTTTAGACCTTTATGGATATAAATCATTCACAGGTAAAAATGTTCAATCCATTTTAGCTTATCTTTCCTTTTAAAATATTTGTCTGTTTTCTTCTAAAAATGACACTGCAAAATAAATATTTTACATCAAATATGTAGTGATTTCTCACATAAACCACAGTCAAATGTCTCAGAGTAACCAAACCAGTAGTCAAACTAAAACCATATCCATATGGCCAGTAACTGAAGAGCAATTCCATCTTAAACCCAAAAGACTTAAAGACACAAATGCTCTGATTTAAACTTTTCTATTTCTTTTGTCTGATAGCCAAAATATGTTTGGAAATAAAAACAAGCCCCAAAATCAACCCATTAAGACTACATGATATCTTGCAGTTGCTTAAGTTACCACACAGTTTAGTATCACTTTGAATAAAACAATCAATAAATAAATGAATACTCTAAAACTCTTTAATCTAAGTAATGATTTCAATTATTCTAAAATGTAAGATGATTTCTAACATCAAAGCAGTAAAATGTATTGCGTTTTCTGGTACAGTCCATACCACTGCAGCATTGGAAAAATCTTTGTTAAAAACCTTTTCTGAAAAAGAGAAACCTGGTACCAACCAAATCCCACATACCTGATTTTCAATTCAAAATAGAAAACTTATTTGCCCATAATTTCATTAAACACCAGGGAATATCAACGTTCAATGTTTTGTATGTTCTAATATTTTTCGAAGAAGATTTGAACGCATTTAGATTTTATCCGCATTAGTGTACAGTTGTATAACTTGCCTTCCCAGATAACACTTCTGTTATTGTACTTTGTTAAATATTTTGCTAAATAAAACCAATTTACATCCTGTGCAACTTCTATTTATTTCTTTTTTTATTCATGATGCATTTTTTGAGTGATGCGACTAATAGTTTGAAGTGATTTAATGTAAAGTCTAGAAAATACAGTGATTTAGTTAAGCTTTCTCTATGTAAATATAAATCAATATTCTTATTGTGACTTTTTCTTTTATTTAACCCAAAAAGTCCAACCATATGAGTCTGAACAAACTGCTTTCTATAAAAGAAAAGTGCCTCTAGTCAGTAATCGCTGCTTGCCTTGCTAGTTGTATTGAAGGATTGTGCGTGCACCATATGTTCACCCTTTTTCCTGCCTTATTGCATCAACAAATCATCCGCCTACATCAACTTAAAAACTGCTATCTTTGTCATTCTCACCATGCAGTCACTGTATAGTGAGAACTTCCCAGCAGTTATTCATTACCTTGGTGTGCTCTGAGCGTTGAGTAGTGTCAGTGGGGTGGAGGACCTGGAGGCCACACATGTCACACACATCACCATGGAGATAGGCACAATTGATTCCGTAGCGGCACTCTCCAACAGCAGCGTATGGACAGAGCTGTTTCCTCAACTCTTTTTTGTCTTGGGCTGGATCACTGTCAATCTCCTTAATAAGAGGGACGGAGCTCTCCACCTTAACTGGCTCAGCTACACACATGAACCATTGGAAGAAAGAGAAATAATATAATGTTTAATCTGGAAAATCAATCTGACTCTATTAACATATGGCTCAGCCACATGACGCAACGTGACAGCACCACTGAGCTCTGAAACCCATTTCTTACAAAGGCTTGTGTAGCCCAACAGAAAAAAAAGTCATATTTGGCTTTGAATAAAGCAGTAGTATCATAACATGGTGACCTAGTTACAGTGTGTATTATTATATATAAAATATAATTAATGCTGGTCATCACCCCGTCCACAGTATGGCTGTCCTGGAACAAACTCAGCAGCATTGACCCAATCTTGAGCTCCTGATCCAGGTGTTAATCCACAGGGTGCAGGGTCTGATGGGCCAGCTAGCACAATGGAGGGGGGCGGCAGCGTCTGGGAGGTTGGCAACTCTTCTTTCTTTACGGGTTTACTGTGTTCAAACCTTAAACAAACAAAACAGACAAGAGCTGTAACATCGCATACATTTTTTTTGTCTCTTAAAAGTATAAAGTCAAATTAATTGCCAAAAGCTGTATGCTGTTCATGGCTAAGTGTTAGAAAACCATTCAATTGTTCCTAAAATCTCTAGCTACAGAACAGCTCACACTGCATTTAAGAAATACACTTGTAACCCAAATGTAATATAGCTGATTGTAATAATTGGATTTTCCAATTAACAGAGAAGCAGGGGAGTGTGACAAAGTTCACAACCTAAAAACAAAAACTCATATGCTAGTAATGCCAAGGGCAACCTTAACTGGTTGCAAAACATAAGGAGTCATGTAGTCATGCTAATTGTTGTACATGATACATTGACAGAAGCAATTGCACTAGTGTTAGCCCTCTTCATTAATCCATGTGACAACCTACTTGGCTGAGTGTCCAGAGCAAGGCCACTAACAAAGCAAGACTAACCCCACTCTTGATCTCTGTCCATCTTAATTACCCAAATAAAATACAAAACTGTCCATACTGTCCTACAATAGTGTATAGAAAATGTAGATTACACCATGCATAAATGGAGAGAAAATTACTCATCTTCAGCTTTTCTGTTAGCCTGAGACGTAGATGAAATCTTAGCATAAAATAAACTGGGCTGCAATCTCTTTCACTACAGATTCTCCTGCATTTCCTTAACAAGGATATGGGTCTGGTTTGCCTATTTGCTTATTTTCCATTCACTCATATCATGTTACCAAGCAAATGTCCATCAAATATTCCACCATTATCTAGGTTGCTCATGCAAAAGTATCTGACTGTCATTAACCACCCTACTGGACTGAGAATAATTGTCCTCTATGCATCATTTGAAATATACCAACCTTGAAAGTCACTCTTCTGCTGACTTCACTGGTTGAGTCATTTGACCATGAGCTCATAAAAACACTCTTTTGCGACCGATATGCAATTGGTCTTTACACAGAAGGCAATTATAATCATAAAACAACTCTGACAACCACCCGGACAACCACAATGCACCCAAGCCAGGCCAGTCCCACAAAAAAAGGGCAACCCCAGCTCAAACTCGTACCAGTCCAACTTCATACCTTCCATCTTACCTAGTCAAGAGTCTGTAATTTCTATCGTTTACCCCTCTATTTGAGAGAGAGTTATCAACACCTTTAACATGCAACCATCCTGCTAAGAGAGTTCAAACCACCTCTCACCATAGTCCTGGCTTTTACAGATGCAATAAACTCTCCACCAGCATTGGGAGCATTTTCAGCTCCATTTATAAAGGTGCAAGTAATACCTAGGCTAATAAGTCTGATGTCTGATATAATGTCAAGTCAACAGGCAGTTTTGTTACTTTCGGATCATCAAAGGCTTTACAAAAAAAAGACAAAACATTTCTGAATTTCTGACGTCGTCTCATGGAGCAATGTATCTCATCCAGCCAAGCTTTAAAAGTACAGTAGGCACTCTAAACAGCTCTACCCTATTTTATAGAGGCCTTAAAAGTAGCTGGAGCCTCAGCAGTACTCTGGTATGAATCATTACTCACTTGGCATAGTTTCATTCATGGACAAATATCGAAGCCATACTGCCTCACTAACAAGGTGCCTCATGGTCTGGGACTGTGTGACATATGATTGTATCACAATGAATGGGATTCTTGTTGGTTTGAATTGGACTTTGTCATTGAAGAGCAAAGAGCTGACATCTTTTTGTGATTTGAGGCTATAAAGATACAATTTAACTGAATAACAGATCTTGGATTAAAACAATGATACTTTCAGTTTCTTATCATTGAATCAGTTACACCAAGATCACAAATAATAAACTATCTACTGGCTTGCACTTAAAAATGTGTATCATTTTAGTTGAGCTGGCAGTAAAATCCAGTGTAGGCATCAAATAAGTCATAAGTCATAAGCATGTCTTCATAACTTTCCCATCTATGAAAGCTTCCTTAAAGCCTACCCTTGCCCTCTGAATTCATTTTACCCACTTGATTTTAAACATTTAGCAACCAAAATGAAAAGAAAATGAAGAAATTATGTAAAACTCTAATGAACAAAACATTTTGCAACTTATTTTGACCCATGTAAAATAAAAAACAAGCAGACACAATCCAATGTTTGGGAATTGCATCCATAGTCATTATCAAGGTCCATAAATCTGGATAATGTGTTGGTTATTCAGTCAGTATTGCCAATATTTTGAAATGGAATATGGTCTTATCGATTACACTTCAGCCGCAATTTTGGCATTCATTCTAGTTACTCTGGGAGAAGTATTTTCTTTCAGTAAAATCAACATTACAATTCATTTAGTTTAAAATAAGGTTGGGAAATGCAAACACCTATTCTAAAAAAAGACATTCAGTTGCTGCCAGATATATAATGGATATATCTGAAAGGGGTGAAAATAAGGGGGGGAGGGGTTTGATGCTATACATAAAGAAAGGAAGGCGCTGCAGCAGAATGAACCCAGTGAACCCAGCCCTTGAGGCTGGGGGCAGCTCTGCCAAACAGCAAGAGAGCAGCAGGAAAAAAAGTAAATGTTATGCAATTGCAGTACTGGCTGCAGTGCTCTCTGTCTGGCTCGAGGTGCTGCAGGAGAGAGAAATAAACGGAGAGAGATAGACAGACCGAGACAGAACCACAATCACAATAGAAAGAGTCGAGGGAATTCAATATCAAGGAGCCTCCACTGAGAGAGCCTTTGTCATGACACTCAATACAGGGTTCAGAGCCACCCCATGTCACAGAATTAATGAAAACATCCTCCATACTGATGCTCCTTAACAAAGATTAAGGAATGTGACTTAGCACAACAACTACTAAGATACTAGATCGAGCAAATCTTGTAAATAACAAGCTTATTGTACAAGAAAATGTATGACGAACACGCGCAACATATGCAGACAGAAGCTAGACAGAAGCTAGACATGGAGCAGACAGCCTGTATAAGGTGGCTGCTGCTGTCTGGGTCAATCAAGCTTGACGACACACTAAGAGTCTGATTCTCCCTCAGAATACCATATTACTGAATAGCTTTACCCATTTATCACATTGTTAAATACAGATGCTGCTGATTGTTAACACTAAAGAACGACACCTCTTTTAGGAGACTTATTTTCTTAATCTGTTTTGTTTAACAATACACGATTCCACTTAATATCTTAATTGACATTCGGCAGGATTTTTAAGATGTTCTTTGTCACAGAATTAATTTTCAATATTGGAGTCTATCCTATCTTAAATTGGAAGAGGCTTGGTACACCCCAGACAGGTCACCAGTCCATCACAGGGCCGCATATATGTAGACAAACAACAGCACACATTCACTTATAAGACCCAGGTCTAATCTGAACTGCGGAAACATATAAAACATAAAAGGTGAAGCCCATGTTACGTATAAATTTCACTTTAAATTTGATGGCGTTTCAAATCAATAATGAAAAAAACAACTAATTAAGCAGAACAGAAAATATATTGCAATATTCAAAATGTGATAACATACTACAAAGTCTGAATAAACATAATCGCAAAAATCTCTTTATAAAAATTGTGGAAAGAGTTATGTCCAAATGATTGAACTTCTGCTCATGCTTACTTCCGCATGATTCTGCCACTATGGCAACATTTTATTCCCAATCAAAGCTTGACCTGTTACAAACCAACCTGGGATGATATTAAATATATGTATGATTGGGAATAAATAAAAATCGGTTTATTAGAATTGCAAATCACATTTTAAATAGACGGCAACACAGTCTAAGAAAAAAAACAATGCTGAGGGGATGTAGTGATTCCCTGACTTTAAACCTGAAGTGATTAAAAGACTACAAAGTTGACAATTTTAATTTTACTTTCATTTCTATACAAGCAGACCTTTATCCCCTTAAACTCTTCTTTTTTTTGCTGCAGCACAAAGCTAAATGGAACAACAACCCCCTACAGCTGCAGGGTTGCACAGAGTGCTCTTTACATTTATGTAAATGTACCCAAAAGGGCAGCCATATGCAAAAATGTGTAGATAATATACACGGGAAGCACCATCACAGAACATGCAGAGAACTATGTTAAACTCTTGATGCTGGCAGGCAGGTGTAACAAACAACAGATTAGAAGCCTAATAAGAACATTTGAAACACGTATCTTTTTAAAAATAAAATTCTCCCAGCAAACTAAAGCTTTTAAACAACACAGTACGGATTATTACTCCGTTACTCTGCATGGGACTGCCACACCAACAACCAACAAGCTGGCATTAGGGAAAACAAGTCTCAGGTGTCAGATCACTTAAGGAGCAGGATGCAAACCATATCGAAGATATGCTGTCAGCACAATATGCACAACCTCTTTTAAACCATAAATTACAACTAAACTAAACCAAGTAACAGATAAAATATTAATTGAAATGAGCTGTGTCGACATTGCTTTCATCATTATCATTCTTACCGATTGCATAAACAACTCAACTCACTCTAACATGTATTTACATTTAAAGTCATTGAAGTCTTTACCTGCAACGGTCCCCAAACACACAGTTTCCATTCTGAAAAAACTTGCAAATCATAGCTGCAGGTTTGCTGCTGGCCAGATCATGGGAATATCGACAGTTGTCCCCTTCTTTGCAAAGACCATGCATGAAATATCTGAAAATATAAAGCAAAATTCAAAACTGTTTAGATAGCAGCTGTTTTCTAATTATAATGTAACTTGGTGAAACAGCAAAATGCCAATTTTCAAGCCTATACGTTTAAATATGGCAATTAAAAGCAGTCGAACCATCTAGATGTGAAAAAGCCAGCTCTTTGATAATGTCATTCTAAATTATAACACCGTCAAGCCACTTTTTGAAAGGACAATTTGACCCCAAATGTCTGCCATTGTAGTCATGATGTAAAAACGTAAGAAACTGGAAAAAACTGTTTTTTATGTTAAATGGGTGGTTTAAACGTAATAGATTAGAAACAGCCATTGAACAATTGCTTAGCAGTGATGCTATGCTCAGGGTTCATTAGTATTACGGCTTTAGTCCGTAACATAGCGTTTTCGTCAACGGTAGTCGTTTGTCAGCCAGATCATTCGAAGGCGACAAAGCCATAATGTGGCCGCTGCCGTACTACGCCAGTCTGCTGTGACCACAGTGAACATAACAACAGAGGAATCCAGTGACGTTATAGCTAGCTAACCAAGAGCTGACAAAAGCCTCAAAAGACATTGTTGTCAGTTACTCAACAGCCGTTGTAATAGCAATATCCTGGTGTCAAACAACACTTTGATTCTTCTCAGTACGTTAACACTCGATTTAGTCTTACCTGCAGGTTACGTTCTTGGTCCAACCTCCTGTAACTGATGTAGCTGCCGTAGACGCTGCTGCTGCCTCCGCCATTTCTGTTTATGTTGAGAAGCCTCAGCCGGATGTTCCGGACAGGTCCGCCACAGTTCGTCTTTCTTCGTATATGAAATGTTGAAACTCGTAAATATTGACCCTTTTTACTGTTTTCAGTAGCTCGTTTCACTGTGTTCACCACCTAAATACGTTCTTAATTTATTTTTTATATCTTCATTTACAGTTAGTCTTAATTAGTTGAGGAACACAGATATGTTTAGGGTGCACAAAAATGTGATTACGTTTGCATACAAGGTTGGCCCATTCTCTCACACACAACAGCTTAGTGTAAACCTGATGGGGAAAAAAAGTTTAAAAAAAGCAGTTGCAGAGAGCTTTGGTCTTGCTCAATTTTTTTTTGTAACAGAGAAATTCAAAGCATTGATAAATAGATTTCCACTTCCCCACTATTCCACTAGTTGGTGCTGTATCACCATATTTTATGTGAACGAGCACTATGCACTAAGTCAGTCTTTTTGTTTTACAGTGTTAAAGGCTCATTCAGACCAGATCCAGAGCATTATTTAAAATTCCCTCTAAATACTTGTTATTATTGGTAGGTCTACATCTACTTTATACTTATTATCTAAAGGACGAAGTCCAAAGTCAGTTTTTAATTTACTTTATCGCCATGTAGTGTATAGATGAATGGATGTTTACAACAGACTGATATTTAGGTGCTAAAGTAGTCTTCATGTTGAAATATAACTGGATAAAACATTGATCTCTGAGAGAAAATTCAATGCCAGCAGTTCAAATGTAGGGTACAGAGACAGTCCTTTTCAATAACTAAAAGAATTCACAATTGATGTTCTCCACAGTCACATCTCAGTCTCTGTTTGCCTGAGAAATGGATAGTTGCCCCTGCATTTATGTTTTGGTTTTGGCTTCAGCTTCATCACAGTGCGGCGTCCTTGTCAGCACTCAAAGCCCATCATTTATCATTCATTAATACTAAGGTTCTGGTTAAGTGTTTCTATTACGATTAACTGTTGAATAAATCTTTGTTTAAGTGTGGTGGCAATATTTATGGTCAATTAAAATAAGAAGTATTTCCTTAGGGGGTAGAAGATACTGCTTTTGTTCAAAAAAACTTTAATTCAAATTCATAACCTTTCTTGTTGGGAGAAAAATGGGACTGGAACATCTGAACCAATTACATACCATCAGCAAAGCCGAATCTCCCAACTGAGTCACAGTTAAGATATTGCAACCTAAGTGTCTTTAATTTTGCAAAGATACTACACAAAAAGAGCAACAAAGTTACTTCAATGCTTTGAAGCCTCCCCAAATCCCTAAATCAGACAAATTATGTTCCAAGAGTCCAAGACCCCAGTAAGTCCATTTGTCTGATCAAGCCCTGTTAAAAGATGGTAATTCAGGGAAGTGTGTTTCACAGAGCAAATAATAGTCTGATTTATTCTGGTTCTCTAGGGTGATAAACTCCCTGGTAAGGGGTGAACCATGAATGTCCCTCTTTTGATTCCTCCTCTGCTCTCTCTGCCCCCTTTGTCTCTAAAAACATTTACCCTGAACTTTAAATAATAATTCCTAAATTTCGGAAGTTTGTCCATTTTCCTTTTAAGGTGCTTTAATCTCATCAAGGCCAATGTTTTGCTCTCTGGAAGATCAGGGCTGCCTGCAGGGAAGGGCCATCTTAATGTTGCCTCTCTGTTTTGTGTATTGTCTTATTTAGGACCTGCAGAAATCATATATCCTAGTGGGATATACCCTTTTTTTAAGGTGAGGTATCAGCAAACTCTGATTTGTGAGCCCAAGTAACAGCTGTTGCTGTTACAGGAGAAGCTTCTCTGACAGATATGCGGTGGCACAGGCCTGGTAATTCTTTGAATTTAGTGTGCTGCGGGGCGCTTCCAACTATGTTCCAGCCCAAGTCAGTTTTTATTGTATAAGGATATACATCTAGTGCTATAATGACTTTTTGAGATGCAAGAGCCCTAGAGCAATTATAGCCAAACCCACACTTCATAAGTGAAGACATTTCCCCAACTATGATAGTGAGGTGCTTCCATCTGTTAGCAGTTTGGCTGGTGGAAATGTGTGAACCTTTGAGTGGAATGAAATCCCTTGCATAGGCAGGAGATAACTCTATGGGGTTTCCTGTATAGAAAGCTCTGGTTCTGCGCAATCAAGTCTCTTCTCATCATCATAGAAAGTTTCAATTCAACTGGCTATGATGTGACTTGCAACCTTTCAGATATTTCCTGATCAATGACTGCTCTGAGTGTCTAGTAAGACATAGGCCAACCCCTTTGGAATCAGGGGCATTAAATGATTAAATCCATATTGTCAATCATTGACTTTTTGTGAAGTACACTTCTCTGTCGGAGGGCGATCTTTAAGAAATGGAATGACAATCATAGCCTTGTTCTTACAGTTCTTAGAATTATTCTCTCTCCTCAGAAATGTAAAACAGTTTTTTTCTTTGAATGAACCTTTTCTTTTGTTCCAGTCATTTCTGTCAGCCCCTTACCATTATGTATGTGGTGGTTGATTCTTCAACATAGGAACTCAGTTGGGTTTAAGGCATGTGTCAATCTATCTTGTTTGTCTGAGTCAGTCACCTTAATTTCAGCAGCTTGGTTTTTTTCAGCCACTTCATTTAGATAATCAGATGACTTCATATTTGTAGCAAAGCTGTTAGCATTCAAACAAGGGATGCTCCGGTCAGCTTTTGTGCCGCTGATTCTGATCCCGATCACCCACAAGTGCCGATAAAATAGATTGGGTGTAAAATGTTTTAATTTAGTTATAAGTGGTACAAGCTTTGTGATCTGGAAAAGATACATAAATTGACCTAAAATTTAGACAAAAATATAGTTTTACTTACTTTTTCAGAGAGAAAAAACAGGCACAATTCTGCAGTTATTCTGAAAAAACATTAAAACATTAATGCCCTCACCATTCTAAATAATGCAGAAATTCAAATGAATTTCACAACATTGTCTAAATCAAATAATTTCTAAAAACAGGTAACATTCAATATCAAATGCAGGTTGCATTCACATTAAGTATCATAATTTACTATATCAAAACTACCCGAGAGCATGGCTAACTGTTTTGTGCATGAGCAAATTCTGTTGTGTTAGTGTAAAAAAAACAAGTGTTTCTTGCTTCATTTTTGCTTTATATAAAATAAAAAAGGCAGATTTGCAACTTAAATGACATTAATATGATCCTAAATACCTTCAAACAGGAAAACAGTGGTAAAATTAAAGTGTACTTGCTTTGGCCAGGCAAAAAATGTTTACACATACAAAATGCCTGTGACTTGTTGTTAAGCATTGTGGGAAGACTCTATTCCTGTGTTCATCAACAATGTTGGATGCAGCGCTGTCAGCACAGTGAAAGAAGCACTTACTCTCCACACTTGTGGAGGGTGCAGGTATGCTACTGATACTCTAGCAAGGTCCAGAGAGCGTTCCTTCTTAGTTAACAAGCATTCTGAAGAAGAAGCACTCTAAGAGATTAATGGCTTTGAGAGCTGGATTGTCATTTGTAATAGTGTTGCAGTGTCGGGATGGGCCTGCTGCATTGTCTCTTGTGCCAGGATTTCACTGAACATTGAAGCAAGGATTCATTTCAATTCAATTTTATCATATAGCGCCAAATCGCAACAACAGTTATTTCACAGTGAGGAGATGCTTAGGCCCTGGAACAATAACTTCAGTTTTATCTGAGGTTAACATTAGAAAATTGCAAGTCATCCAGGTTTTAATATCCTGAAGACAAATGTTAAGCTTAGCTAACTGATGAGTTTCATCCGGCTTGATCGATAGATATAACTGAGAAACCAATGAAAGTTGATGGAGTGTTTCCTGATAATATTACTTAAAGGAAGCATATATAACGTAAAGAAGATTGGTCTGAGCACAGATCCTTGTGGAACTCCATGACTAACTTTGGTATGCATGGAAGACTCTTCAGTAACATGCACAAACTGAAACTGACCTAAACGGGCTTAGAGCGGCTCCCTTAATGCCAATAAAAAAGTACCAGTCTCTGTTATACGATCTGATGGTCAATGTTGTCAAAGGCAGCACGAAAATCTAATAAAACAAATACAGAGACAAGTCCTTTGTCTGGTGCCGTTAGGAGGATTTGTCATTTGCACTACTGCTGTGCTATGATGAATTCTTAATCCTGACTGTAAATCTTCAAACAAGCTATTGCTATGTAGATATTCACACAGCTGTTTGGCGACTGCTCCAGGACCTTGAAGATAAATGGACGGTTCAATATAGGTCTACAGTTGGCTAAAACTTCTGGGTCCAGGTTAGGCTTTTTCAATTGAGGTTTAATTACAACTACTTTAAAGTACCGTGGTACATTGCCTGTTGATAAAGACAGATTGATCACATCGAGTTGAGAAGTACCGGCTAAGGGTAAGACTTCTTTAAGCGGCCTAGTTGGGAACGGTTCCAAAAGGCAGGTTGATGGTTTGGATAAAGAAATGATTGAAGTTAGTTGTCAAAGATTAAGGGAGGCAAAGCAGTCAAAACATATAACTGGTTTTACAGCTGTTTCTATGGTTTCTGAGTTTAAAGATAAGTCGGTGCCATTTGAGGGCGAGTCTTGGTGGATTTTGTTTCTAATAGCTAGAATTTTATCATTAAAGAAGCCCATGAAGTCATGGCTATTGAGAGCTATGGGAATACTTGACTTTATAGAGATGTGACTTTCCTGGTTGTTGCACTTTCTCTGCTGCTACTGCAGCATCTGCAACCGGACCATACACCGATCGCATACTTTCAAGCAAATCTGCAGATAGTGATTAGTAACCAATCGATCGGAACACCACTAATTTGAACACTTCATTTCTCTTGATAACCTTTCCTCGGATGTCTTTAAAGCATGAAGAGGTGAGACAGGATTGCATGCCAACTACTTCCTGCTTCTGAAGAGTGCAGACAATCTCTTCTTGCAACTGCGACTTTGTCTGTTTTACTTGATTTAAAATGTTTAAATAATTCAAACTTTACCCTCAAGTGTATAAATGATTTTTCTTCCTTTAGGTTTCCCAAGATATTTAGTGGACTTACTTGGTAGGAGCTAACATCATCAGCAGAATGCCCCCCTTTTCTGAAGATGACCACCTATAATCTCCTTCAGAAAATCAACATGCTAGAAACGACAACTAGAGGTAAATTTAGAAGAAAATGGAATATGTGGATATGCTACAATGTTACCTCTAGCTAAACATAGTGGACAAGATCCTGCCCACCGACAGCTAATCAGCAATAGCAAGGCTCACAGGAAATGGGAGGATGTTGCTTTGAGTAACAATTCCTATAGTAGTCGGCAAGGAATGTGCTTGAACCAAAGCCGAAGAATAAAATATCTCACAGGAAGAAGATAGAACTAGCCCTGCCAGCCCAGCCCTGCATCTGTGATGCGGCTGGCTGGCCTTCACTATCAAACGAGACCAGTCTTCCTTGACAACAGTTAACAGGATACTGTTAGTTTGGGGTTCTTTTTCCTGTTTTATTTTGTTTTCTTTTCCTCTTCTGTCCTGGGTTTTTTCTGGGAAGCTGCGTTTCCTTTAACAGCCATCAGATGTCACCAGTGAGCGGAGCCCCTGGAGAAGTGTGGCGGCCAACCTGTAGACGCACCTGTGTCTAATTTTCGAGAGCTGCGGAGGTGCTTCATAAGGACAGCCTAGCTGACACTCCAGTGCCTGAGTGTTTGCCTTCACTGGTAGACGTTTTTCTTAGGAAGAAACCTTCTATGATCGCTCCCTGTGTTCTGATCGCTCCTTGTGTTCTCCCCGTCAGATTTCCCTGTGGCTCCTGGATGTGGACAAGCGCTTCCCCTTGGATTTCCTTGTGTTCCTCACGACGCCGTTGGGATTACCAATCAGTCGCCTTCCTCCGTGGACTTACCCCCCTGTTCCCTCCCCGTGGATCCTCTGTGCCTCGCCACAGGCTGAGCCTGCCGGCGTTTCATGTTCCGGGAGCTAACGGTCGAAACCCCGCCCGGAAGTCAGCTCACTCCGCTCTCCAGCTGCAAGTCTTACCTGCTCGCTCTCCGACGGTAACCCACTTCTCCAGCCGCCACCACCGACAACACTAACCTCCGCATTCAATCTGACGACCAGCTTCCTCCAGTCCCAGGTTCCAGAACTATTTCCCCTGACCCCTCTTCCTTTCCCCAAAATAAACATTATTGTTGTTTCATATCGATTCTCTTGGAGTGTTCTTGCATGTGGGTAACCCGGCTATCACCCATCATGACAGATACAGACTTGGACAGCTTTCAATGGAAAAGCAAAAAAAATAATTCTCCTCCTATTCAAACAATCATACCATTACAGAACAGATTTGCACCGTTACAGAAATCTGGATCTCCATCCATGGCTAGGATAAAGACTCTTCACACTGCAAGGTAAACAGGAAAATAACAAAAAAAGGAAAAGGCTGAGAGGGAAGCTTAGACTTAGACTCAGACTTAGACTTGAACATCTTTAGTGTAATGTTGTATGTACAGAGTGCGTACAGAATGAAATTTCATTGCATATAGCTTACGACAGCGTCCAAGAACAGAATTAAACAATTCAGCAGTCTGATGGCAACAGGGAAAGGGCTGTTGCAGAGCCTGTTGGACCTGCAGTGTAGGCGGCGGAACCTCTTCCCAGAGGGCAGCAGGGAGAACAGATCTTGGTGGGGGTTTGAGGGGTCTCCGATGATGTTATGGGCTTGGGAAAAGCAGCGCGGGGATGAGTGTCCTCAGTGGAGGGAAGAGGAGCCCTGATGATCCTCTCTGCTGTCCTCACCACTCTCCTCACGTTTCTCCATTCTGAGGCGCTGCAGCCTCCACACAACACAGAGAGACAGCTTGTCAGAATGCTCTCTACGTGCTTCTGTAGAAGGTTGTGAGGATGGGCGGGGGCAGGTGGGTTCTCCTCATCCTCCGCAGGAAGTACAAGCGCTTCTGTGCCCTCTTCACCAGTGATGTGGTGTTCACAGACCAGGTGAAGTTGTCCGTGATGTGCATCCCCAGGAATTTAGAGCTGCTGACCACCTCCACAGCTGAGCTGTTGATGAGCAGTGGAGCGTGACGAGGCCAGTACTTCCTGAAGTCAGTGTTGATCTCCTTCATCTTTTCCACGTTCAAGATCAGGCTGTTGTCTCTGAACCAGCCCACCAGCTGCTCCGCCTCCTCTCTGTAGTCCTGGTCGTTGTCGTTTCTGATCAGGCCCAGCACCATTGTGCCGTCTCCAAACTTTACGATGTGATTGGTGGTGAACCTGGGGACGCAGTCATGTGTCATCATAGTGAACAGTAGGGGGCTCGGGACGCAGCCCTGTGGGGAGCCCTTGCTGAGGTGGATGACATCAGAGGTGTTCTGTCCGACCTGGACTGACTGAGGTCTGTTGATAAGGAAGTCTAGCAGCCAGTTGCGAAGGGGTGTGTTGAAGCCAAGGTGTTCCAGTTTTCCTTCCAGATGCTGTGGGACGATTGTGTTGAACGCTGAACTGAAGTCCAGGAACAGCATCCGCACGTGGGTGTTCTTCTCCTCCAGGCTCAGGTGAAGAGCGGAGGAGATGGCGTCCTCAGTGGAACGGTTTCGCTGGTAGGCAAACTGGAACGGGTCGAATGTTGTGGGGAGACTGGAGATGATGTGTTCATTTATCAGCCTTTTAAATCACTTAATCATGATGGAAGTCAGTGCAACAGGCCAGTAGTCGTTAAAACAAGTGACTTGAGGTTTCTTTGGCACCGGAACGATGGAGGCAGACTTAAAGCACGATGGCACTGTGGCTTGGTCCAGGGAGTTGTTAAAAATGTCTCTGAGGACACTAGCTAGCTGACCTGCACACTCCTTGAGCACCCGCCCAGGTATGTTGTCGGTACCTGGGGCTTTCCGCGGGTTGACTCTCCTTAGAGTCTTCCACACGTCAGCTGTCAAGGCAGAGTACCTTCTCTTCCTGATGGGGAACAGCCTTCACTGCTGGAGTGATGTTTAGTGCCTCAAACCTCCCAAAGAAGTTATTTAGTCCATTGAGGAAGTCAGCATCGACTTCAGCCACCGGGGGGGAGGGCGTGTTGTATTCAGTGATCGCCCGTATGCCTTTCCACATGCTCCTGGTGTTGCTGGCATCTTGGAAAAGATCCTGGATTTTCGGACTATGGGTCCGCTTCGCAGACCTGATGGCACGGTTCAAGTTGGCTCTCGCTGTCTTCAGTGCTTCCTTGTCACCTGACTTAAAAAGCTGAGTTCCGTGCTTTGAGTGCTTGGTGATCCTTTGTTGATGTAGGCTGACACAGTCATGGCATACTCATCAATGTTTATCATGTTGTCATATGTTGCTGCTGCTCTGAACATGTCCCAGTTAGACCACTCAAAACAGTCCTGGAGTGCCTCCATGGCCCCCTCAGTCCACACCCTCGCTTACCTCACTGTAGGTTTAGCTCTGATCAGCAGGGGCCTGTATGCAGGAATTAGCATTACAGAGAGGTGGTCTGAAGAGCTGAGGTGGGGGTGGGGGGCTGCTTTGACTGCGTCTTTTATATTTGTATAAACTAAGTCTAGAGTGTTCTCTCCCTGAGTTGCAAAATCCACGTGTTGGTAGAAATGAGGGAGAACAGTTTTCATATCAGCCTGGTAAAGTCCCTAGGAATGATGAAAACACCCAGTGTGTGTGCAGATTGCAGCTCGGAGATAGTCCGATAGAGAACACTCATAGCCTCTTTTGTATTAGCGCTGGGAGGCACATAAACAGCAGTGATGCTGACAACAGTAAACTCTCTAGGCAGGTAGAAAGGTCTGCAGTTAACAGTCAAAAGCTCTATGTCCGGAGAGCAGTGGCTGGCGACTGATCTAGCATTTTTACACCAGTTGTTGTTGATGTAAACACACAGCCCGCCCCCTCCGGATTTGCCGCTAAGACAGCTGTTTCAATCTGCACGGAAAGTAGCGAGCCCCTCAAGTCTAACAGCGCTGTTCGGAATTGATGAGGTAAGCCATGTCTCTGTCAGGATGAGAGCGCAACAGTCTCCAAGCTCCTTCTTTGAAGAGAACTCAAGTTGTAAATGGATTGACAGTCTAATGGTTGGTGATGCTGCTATGAAGGATGTAAGCTATGTGTGGGAAACTTACAGAAGTACTGTGCTTTTTAAAGGACACAGAATCAGATGTGAGAGTCAACAATATGCAAATCCTGGCTTCAAATCCAACTATTAAGACCCTTATATTATGCCTTATATCTAACAATATCATGAAACCGCAATCCGAGGTGCTAAAGCAACACTTTAAGAGGCTGTTTGATGAATTTGATAGTGTGAATGCTGACGATTTTATCAGTGATGAGAGATTATGCAGGCTGTTTAGCCTGGACAAATGGCTTCCAGGTATGTGTTCCATAAACTCTTTTAGTTTTACTGACAATTTTTTTTTTCTGGGACTCAGACTAAAGATAGACTCTGCCTCAACAGATCTGGAGTAAGGCTGTTTGCACCTAATCTTTTCTATGTTTTGAGTTACCTTCCTGCTCCATTGAGCAAAAACAGAATGAAGCAAAAACAAAAGGATAAGATGCAGCAGGCAAAACATGCCCTGCCTGGAACAAAGCAATCTCTCTTATCTCAACCTGGCTCCCCAACAGTGGTCTTGGAGCAGTCTCTCTGCAACTTTAGCCTTGTATGGAACTGCAGATCTGGATCTTCTGTCCCCCATCCCTCCTCCTTCCCGAGTAGGGAGTGACTGCCTCAGAAGGACATATATCATCTACTGCCTTTGAACTAAAGTGCCCACTTGCACATATATACACACAAATATAGACTTTATGTGCCCTACCCTGACTCACTGCCTAATCATTTGTGACTGTGCATCTTACCCTCCAGGATCCTGGTGAAGATACAGAGCTGGTCCAGCATTCCATGGCCAGGATGAGAACCACACTGCTGTACCACTACTGCTAGGTGTTACCAGCAGACCCACCCTGGGCTGCCACCTTACCTTTGTGATGGGTTTGAGTGTCCTAATGATCCTAGGATCTGTGTTGTCTAGGGCTTTAAGCCCCTGGTAGGGTCACCCAAGGCAAACAGGTCCTTAAGAGGTGTTATGGTCCGTCCAGTAAGCCACAGGGACAAAGGCATAAAAGAATAAATTCTATTTATTTTTCTATTATTCTTTCAAAGAAAAGGACATCAAATTCCAAAATATGACAAAAAATGGGCCCAAAAGAAAACAACTAAAGCATACCTAACTCAGGATAACAAACCAACAACTGCCCCCCCCACAATGAACACAGGGGAATTTAAACACAAAGGCTAGCCTACACCCACCAGAAGGGGTGGGAGATGAGGCAAAGACAAAGTGTATAAACATAAACAATTAATTTAACCCAACATATTTTAACTCCAACACCATAACAAACACAAGTCAAACCTAACATCAAACTATTTAAGGACTTATACTATAACTAAAAAGAAGAAAGTTATTTTAACATCAGGTCCCCTGCTTCCAGCAGCCCGATGGTTTGTTCCACTTCCTGGTTCATCTCGCCATCAGTCCTCTTTCCCAGCCAGCCCTTCAACTCAAACAAATAATTACAAAACAAAGGCGTTCACTAAATGTGTGCACCCATAATAGTAAACCTAAAACAATAGACACACAAACAAATGAAATTATAAATGTATGGCATGAAACAAATACTAACACTGGGTTAATTGTGGAGGAACCTCCACAAGAGGGATCAGACGAATTGCAGCCCCAAGACCCCCTATGATGAGTTTCAGAAATGGACCAAATGCTCCCTCGCCCAGATGCGGTTCACCTCTCTGGGGTCAGGCCTGGTGGTGGGGCGTGCTAATTTCCTGTTTACCATGCGAGGGCCTTATGGCCAGACTTTCACCCATGGAGCTCAGCCGGGATCAGCCTGAAAAGGACACATGGCTCCCCTTTCTGACGGGCTAATCACCCATGACTCACTTCAATAGAGGGCCCGAAAGCAGTGGACCGATCGTCAGCTACAGAAGCTCTCTCATGATAACATATGTGTTGTTTTTTAGTTTAGTTTTTTCAACATTTTGGTTTGTTTAGCCTGTTTGGCCCCTCTCCTGTCCACGCATCTCGTTGGATTTGGTGATGAGTTCTGTCATTTTAGTCACTCAGGTTTCGGAGCAAGTTTCGTTTTGTAAATAAATTCATAGCCTTGGTGTCTCCAGCGCAGGACAGATCTTTATTTAGATTAACTTGTTGGTTTATGTCTGATGTATAGATCAAATCAATAGACTGCTCTGAACTTGATCCCCGCATCTGTGTCCTGCTGGGATTGTGACAAAATGTTGTTTGACCAGAGAGATAAAAATATGTTTAAGAATTAAATGTTTGTATCAATTTTAAACTCCATTTGGAATTATTAACCATAAACGCCCCATGGTTCAGAGTAGTAGTACAATAACAGTCAATAATAGTTATATTAGTTATACAGTGGTGGGCCGTCAGGGCCTGCAAGGCCTTCTCTGCAGGCCTAAGAAAATATCTGAATCACAGACTGATGTTAATTACATTTTGTCCATGGAAACGTATTAAATATCTCTAAATGGTCTGTCCGCTTCCTTTCATAGCTTTTCCCCTGGTTGTGCTGCTTCCAGACATGCATTTTCATATAAAAGCATTTAACCAATCACATTTCAGACATCTTTTGTCGCTAGGCAGGGTCAAAGTCAAACATGTCTGCCAGGAGGCCTTCACAATCCGTTCTGCAGGCCCCCTCCCACAGAAAATACATGTCGAGTACACTGTTACTTCAACCAATCCGATTTTAGGATGGTGATGCCAGGGCCTGCTGGAAGGCCTTACGTAACGTCAGCGTAGTCATGCCCGTTGATTGGATAGTCAGATAACCAATCAGGGCAAAGCTGAACATTTTGGCATTCATGATGCAATACAGGAAAGCACATGGCTGAAATGAAGATGACTGACAATAAACTGAAAAACTGCTGTCTTTGTTGATAGAATAAATGAATGGATTCATATGTACTTCTTTGGATTGTCAGCCCAAATTCAGCTGAGCTACATCGAAACAAAAATTTGATCCGTCAAAAATGGTGCAGACTGTCAGAGCAAAAAGAATACAGGACAAAATAGATTGACCAAATATACTTAATTCACATCAAATACTGTTGTCAGTCTTTTTTCTTCTGTAGTAGTGATGACCAAATGAAACTCTCTGAAGCTTGTATCTAAAAAGGGTTCAGGGCAGGAAACTTTTCAACACAGTCGATTCTGGTACCACCTGGTGGTCAAATGTATGAATAGCAGTTTGGATCTCCAAATTGAAATTATGTGCTTCATTATTATTGCCATCTGTGTTGAGTTGACAGCTTTTGTTTACATTTCCTTAGATTAGCCGTTTGGGAAAAAAACAAAAAAACAAAACTTTGCATCCAAGACTCTGAATATTGATAAATGATGATAACCAGCTATATTCTGCTGATGATGAGCAATCTTTTCAGGCAGCCTTTAATTTGTTTTCAGCATTTGTAACAAGTTTTGGAAATTATTCCTCATTTAATGGCAACATATTTTCTGCTGTATGTCGAATTTATGCATATAAGTTCTGTACCTATCCGTTTGTTTTTGGGGAGCTGCAGTCCAGTTTTTGTGTTAGATTTTGTTTCTCTATATGTCGTACAGAGTTTTAAATAACAAAAGGAGAATTTAATTTTTTTTTCTATTTTACTACTTAAAGTCATTGTAGTCAAATTAACATGGGTTGTTTTAAAAACAAAAGTTTTTATACAATACTGCAAAGCAACCTTTTAAGGTAATTTTGTTGATTTAATAACTATGATTTTTGCTTCTCTTTTTTTTGTTATATTGTAAAAATGTATCGTTATCGTAAAAATACTCTGAAATATCATGATATCATGTTTTAGCCATATCACTAACCCCTACCACCTGCACTCAATCTCTTCTGGACCATCCCGACTTCTTGCCTCAGTAACATGGGTAACTCTGGTACTCCTTTCCCCACAAATAAACAGTCGGACTCCATCACATCATAGAAGTCTTAACTCAAAACCCACCTGTTCGAGCTGGCTTACTCACTATAACACTGGACATTGTGAACTTCACTTGTTTTTATGTTGACTATGTTGTTTTGCTGAGCCTGTGTCTGGACATGAGGTTAGGGCACCTGTAAATGTTCTTAAAGACAAGCTGATCTCACATTTTAAAACAACATTGTGCATCCCAGAGTATGTAGCAAAAATGAGAGAGAGCCCTCTGACAGCCTGCAATCTTGCTCAGGATGCCTTGACCTCAGGGCAGGTTAAATTAAAAAATATTATGACGAGAAAGCATTGGCTCATGAATTTCATCCTGGTGATAAGGTTTTGCTCTTGTTCTTCTCTGGAAACAAAATTTTTAAAAACATATGGTGTAGAAAAGAAACTTGGTGAGACAATCTATGTTGTCCAGACTCCTGATTGCCTAGTCCTGAAGACAAGAGTCTTTAATTTAATAATTTAGGAGAAAATTGTCAAACCTCTAAATGTCAGGTTGCCTCAGTTTCTGAGTGAATGTTGGGGCTACTCGCTGGCGTGAGTCGCTTGCACTACTTGCTGCCGCTGCTCGCTGTCAGTAACCTCTACCGGCTTATCCTATGGTTGTATGACTTAATCAGATTGTGTTTCTACCTGCTTTCTGGATTACTTCCATGATCTGCTGGCACGATTGTCTGCATAGTCTTCATTGCTAGCTCACCTGTCCTCTCCCAGCTTGAGCCTCACCTGGAGTTTTTCTTACAGCTGACGCTGCCTGACGCTGGTAGGAGATACATCTGGCTTGTATGTGCCTTGATCTTTGTACTGCCTGTTCACCTGCCAGTGATGGGTTTGCTCCAGTACTCTGCCATTGACCAGCTGCACCTGCCCCTTAGGCATTCCACATTCATTAGGACATCATCTTTCAGCCCCGCCAGAGATACATCCACCGAAGGTCCCGTTGGCATTTCCACCACGA